TTGGAAGTTCTGATTTATAGCTGGCTTCTTCTGGGAATCAAATGAGTTTTGGTTGCTTCAATTTGTTTGAAGTTTCTCAGAGATCAAGTGATCATTTTGAGTTTTGTCTTTGGTTGATTTTTTGGTTTGTTTTTTTTTTATCATCCTCTGCTCTGTTCACCTTCTTTTACATTTATAGGAATGCTAGAATAGAATTTCTAATCCTTTAAAAATGGGCGGCAGATTTTCTAAAAAACAAGATCTTCCATTTTTTAATGCAAAGAAAAATGGGTTTTATCAATTCTAGCAGATAAGCTTTCAATAGTCAGTTCCTATGGCAATCACTTCCCTGTATTCTTTGAAAAGAAACCTAACCCTTCTTTTAATTTAACACCCCCCTGTAAGAGCTCAAACTGTGATGGTTAGTTTTGATTTGACTATTTGAACAACTCTCTGCTTCCCACTTATCTCTTTGAGGTTGTAGTTTACTTATCTATTGGAAGGATCACCTGTTCTGACACAGAATTGTATAAAAAGGGATTCTGATCTTTTAGCCCTAAAGTTTCAGAGTAGCCTTTTGCTAATGACCTGCTTTCATTTAATTCTCAATCAACTTTTTTGTGATAGTTGAAATTGTTGACGTTTTAAAGTCAAGTAGTCACGTGGGTTCTGAGAATAGGCTTTCAAAAAAGATCTTGCTGACTTTGCACTCTGGGTTTTGAGATCAGTGGTGAGCCAAAAGCTGGGACCCATCCAATTTTCTTTAAATCTTTTATTGATCTGCTCTAGTAGTTGATTGCCTTTTAATCTTGACATTTTTTTTATAACTCTTCCATTTTTGTAAAAGTCATGGGCCTTCTGATTTGGTCTTGGGCTTTCTCTATTTTTGAATCAAAGCCCAGTCCTCCGTCCTTTTCTGTTTTGTGGGCCTTTGTTAGAAGTGGGCTGGCGTGCGAATCCTTTTTAGGCCCAAACATTGCCCCCTTAAGTCTGAATCATTTTAAAACAGTTTCAGACTTAATTATTGGCCAATAAATGATGCGCTCCATTTCCTGCCGTTGCGCTAGCACACTTCTGCCTATTCAATTAGGCTTCATGGGGAAATGGGCTTTAACGGCTAATTAAATATGAACAAAACTCATTCCCTTCCACTCTTCCACGATCTTCCTGTTTCGTTTATAAAGATTTACCGAATCTTCATTACTATTTATCAAAAAACCTAGTTCTATCTTAGCTTCCATTTCTTTCGAAACCTTCTATTCTTTCGGTTCTGGTCCTTTCAATCCCCCTCTGCTCCTTTGATTTCTAGAGAGAGAAAAAAAAATGTCTTCTCCAAACACTCGTGTCAAGGGTTCCTCTTCTTCACACTCTCCTACCTATCTCACTAGAGATGGTGTCGACAATCATGCGATAGAGGTTCGAAGCAAGCTCTATCCCTTCGTGCAAAAGAATTTGGATGAGAATGTACTTCATCTTTTCGAGAACACCTTGGTTCTGGGCCCTCATTGGTTTGGTCCCGTATCGAAGGAGATGGCCATCTTGTTTGGGGATGATGCTGAGGCCCCTCTGTGCTATCAAAGCTCCACTTCTCTGGCCTCTCATACCTGGGTCAGCAAAAACCTGAGTCGCTTGTTTCCTTCAAGCGAAGTGAGGAATAGTGCAGTGAAATGGTCAGACTGGATTGACAGGCTTCTTCCTAGACACGGAGCTCACTGGAAGAGGGTTGGTACCTACAATGCAATTCTTTTGTCCAGGCACTCTATTAATAGAGATGAGAACCTTCTGGCTGCTGCTCTGTGTTTTTGGAACTCTGCCAACAACACATTTGACTTCTGCCTGGGCCCGATGACTCTAATTTTACTGGACATGGCTCAGATATTTGGGTTTAGGCCTCAAGGAAGGCCTGTTGATGCTGTTGGTAACTATCACAAAAGGAAAAATCAGGAGAAATTGCCCAAGCCCTTCATCATCTCTCATGCCACCATAAACCAGAATTGCTCGTTTTCTAATTATCTGAAGAAATTCAGCACTGAGAAAGATAGAGATCAGCAACACATGTTGTTCCTCCTCTATTGGCTGAACAGATTCATCTTTCCCAACTGTTCCTCTGCAGTTCTGCTTGAGTACAGACATCTAACAGAGGCTCTGCACAATCACACGAACGTGGGGCTGGGCCTATGGTTCTGGCTCATTTATACAAAAACCTGCATACTGCCACTTTGGACAATCTGAATCTGTCCGCTGAATCTGTCCGCCCCAGGCGCATTTTGGATGATTCAGGTCTGGTTGCAAATGTACTTCCCAGAACTGAGGTTTCCAGACATTGTTCTCTCTGAAGACAGGTCATGGCTCATTCGTTGATGTCAGCAGAGGTGCCCAAGCGTTCCATTGAGGAATACTTGATGTTCTTTAGGCACTGTACCAAGAGATCTACTGTACAGTGGCAGGCAGTGCTCAGGAGGACCTACCCCTGGTTTTAGCTTGGATACAGAGTCTTTGAGAAAGAGCCAGAAGAAGAAGAGGAAAGAATTGAATTTATGAAGAAATTTTTGAGTGTGATGCTGCCTCAGGACATGCCATTTGGTGGAGGCAAACCTCCCAACTATCATCTAGGGGTAGAAGTGTATCATCCCAATTTCTGTGCTCGATAACTTGGCTGTCCTTAGCTAATTCCTCTCAAGTTATACAGGAGCTGCAACCGTGCTACCTCTTGGAGGGATTAAGACGATTTGGACGTATATAAAGACTGTAGATGTTCGGTAAATAAAATAAACAACAGTGTGGATGCTCTTTACCCATTGTGGGAGCCTAATTCCTGTGGTTCTGCTAATTTCGACGCCTGGTGGAAGACTAGGTTCCAAGGTTTTTCTGCCTCAAGCACTGCCCTCAAGGTGCTTTTTGATGGCTGGGACTCCTTGGCAGTTTAAGCAGGGGCATAGGCCAAGAGCTTTATGGTGCAAATGATTAAGGATATTAATGCACAAGTTATTGAAGGTATATTCTTCGTTCATCATCTTTCCTTTGTTCTGGTCGTATTGGTTCAATTCTGCCTATTTTTGTGATGTCTAACAACCTGTTTTGTCTGTATCAGATCCTTCTGTGACTCAGGACATTGGAAGCCAGACTGTGCATTCTGGAGAATTGATTGGTAAGTTTCCTAAATTCTGTCTTTCTGAATTTCCTTGTTGGACTGTCTTCTAATTTCTTCTTTTCTGTGCAGTTAATTCTGTCATAGCTGCTGGGGATCTAGAGCTTCCCTTTTGAGATAAGGAAGATCATCACGAGTCCCTAGTAGAGCAACCAGCTGTTAAGGCCACTCCTTCTACTAGAAGAAAAAGAAAAGAGGTTGCTCCTGTTCAAAGCAGTACTATCCAGCCTGAACCTTCTGGTAAGATCTTGACATTTTGCCTTACTTTTTGAATATGTCATGTTCTGTCTATTCTTCTAACCTTTATTTTCTGTTCTATGCAGCTGAAAGCCTCCTTCAGATGCTACTAGGTCAAAAAGGACTAGAAAAATGACTGTTCCCACCGAAACTTCTAGAACTGATGATGAGCTGCGATAGGCTTTTGAAGCTATTGAGCAAGAGAAAGGACAAGAAGAAGAAGAAGATGTCCCTCTAAAAGAGAAGGAAAAAGAGCCTGAAGAAGAGGTGAGACTCCATTACTTATTGTATGAATTTTTGTGTTGGTTCTTTCTTCTAACATCTGACTTTTGTCCATCTGTTGGAAGCGATCCCTACTGAGGCAATGACAGAAAGCATTGCCTTGGCCAAACAACAAGAGGAAGCTCAGAGGGCAGAACCCACAATTTTAGAATTGGCTTTATTTGATGACGTGGAGGCAGAACATTCTGTTGCTGCCCTAAAGCTTGAGGTAGAGGCAAAACACTTTGTTGTAGTTCCAGTTCCTGAGGTAACTTCTAGTTTTGTTGTCTTGTCTTCTTAGTTCTGTTCATCTTGACATTTCCTAATTTGTTACTATCTTTTTAGGTAGCAGAGAACAAGACTGCTGGGATCCTAGCTATGGTGACCAGTTCTTTCAAGCCTCCCATTGTGGCTGTGAGTATTTTTGTGCCTTAGTCTTCCTTTCTCTTCTTATTCTGACTTTGGTTGAAAACTGACTTGAGTTTGTTTTGCAGATGCAAATCCATTCTCTCCCAGGTTCATTTACCACGGCTTCTTTTGCTGATCCAGAATTGGCAGAGTTTGAAGCTATGGACTTGGATGCCCAGTTGGACAAACTGGAGAAGCTTAGCTCTACTCCTGGCAAGGCAAAATCCAAGGCAGTGGATAGGGTAAAGATCTGGCAATCCACTGAAATAGATTTGGATGAAAACCAAGAAGTTGTTGACCAACTGATGAAAAACTTGGACCTGCTGCATAGAGAGAACATAACTCCTAGGCCCATTCTTGGAATCAGCTTAGGCTTGGCAAGAGACGTGCTCAATCTCCACAACCACTATGAAGATCTACAACCCTCCTTTAAAGCCTCCGAGTTCTGCAAGGCCACTCATGAAGCTAATTTGGTTGACTACCAGAAAGAGAGAGCAGAATTGGACCATATGGTTGTAGGTTACAAAGAAGCCAAGACTGCTGCTAACAAGCTAGAGAAGCAGATTGAAGAACTCCAAAAACAACTGGCTGGGCTGAGGGAAAGGCAAAACAAACGTGGGGCTGGACTAGACACCAAGACTAAGACCACTTTCCTTGTGCAGAACATGGTAGCTGCCTCTAGGCCAACATTGGAGATTGCAGAGGCCTTTCTCCATCAAGGAATGCTTCTCCAGCAAGAAATCTTTACCAAGAAGACCGGATTGCAAGAAACTTTAAAGAAACTAGGACTTTGAATTTAAATTCTGAAAATGTAATAAACTTAGTCATGGAAAATGACTATATTTAATAAAAGTTATCTTTTGTGAAACTTTTTTATTATTCGTAATTTCTCTTGTCAAAGTAAAAGGAAGCAGAAAAGAAAAAAAACTTAACAAATTACAATACAAAACAAATTCTGAACAGAAATTTAGATAACAGTTTCATTTTGTTTCCTCTCTATTCCAGGATCTGTTTGTAGAGCCTGTGAATCCCACATGGTTGGGCAGAATTTCTTCAACCATTTGCCATTGATTGGTGCAGCATGAACATCTCCATCTCGATCCTGTAATATGTATGCCCCCATTCTAAGGATTTGTTTAATTATGAAAGGACCTTCCCATGTAGGTGACCACTTTCCATAACCAGCTATGTGTGTTCCAAGGGGTAGAACTGCTTTCCAGACTATTTCTCCCTCTTCAAAACTCTTGTTTTTAACTCTTTTGTTGTAGGCCCTTGACACAGCTTGTTTTCCTGCTAAAAGTTTGTTGAGGGTGTCAATTTTACTTGTATCCAATCCTTCTAGCTTTAGCAGCATGGCTTGAGAGTAGTCTTCTCCAGTAAGATTGTCCTAGTGAGCAATTCTGAGAGATTGGATTGCTATTTCCATAGGTAGAATTGCATCATGACCATAAGTTAGAGCATATGGGGTCATGTTAGTTGCCTCTCTCTTTGAAGTCATATATGCCCATAGGGTTGATGATCACATTGTTACTGGATTCTGCCTGTCCATTAGTTTGAGCATAGTAAGGGGTGGATTGAAGTAGCTTAAATTTGAATGCTTCTGCCATATCTAGCATTTCTCCAGATATGAAAGAAGATCCCATGTCTGTTGTGATTGATTCTGGAATGCCAAACCTTTGTACAATCTGTTCTTCTATGAAGGTGATGATTTCTTGAGATGTAGTGGATTTAATGGGCTTGGCTTCCACCCATTTGGTGAAATAGTCTGTAGCTACAATGATAAAACAATGCTGCTTGCTACTGGCTAGATAAATCTTGCCAATGAGATCCATTGCTCATCCTCTGAATGGCCATGGCTTTACTACTGGATTCATGGGAACTGAAGGAGCCTGCTAGATTGGGCCATGCCTTTGACAAGCCTCACATCCCTTGGAATACTCAATGCAATCTTTCATCATGGTTGGCCAGAAGTAGCCATACCTTATAATTAACCAGCACAGTTTTCTTCCTCCTTAATGAGCTCTATAGATTCCTTCATGGGTTTCTCCCATGACCTTCATGCATTCTTTCTTCCCCATGCACCTCAGAAGTACCTCATCTTTGCTTTTTCAGACCAAATCTCCATTCCACATAAGGTAGTTCAAAGCCATGATTCTGACTCTCTTCTTATAAGGCAAGATTGGATACTGCAAGTAATTTATGATGAGACTTCTCCAATCATCTTCAGTGATTATGGCAAAATTGACATCTATCTCCATTTCTCTGGTTAGAACAGATGGTAGACTTTTTCTTTCCTACCTTGATAATCCTTTGTACACAGTCCTCAGGCATTTGTATTCATGTTGCTACCTGAGCCAATTCATTGGCTACAAAGTTTTCTTCTCTTGGGATGTGTTCCCAAGTAGCTTCTCAGAATTCTGTTAGAAGGTTTCTGGCTGCCACTAGATAGACAGCTAAAGAAAGACTTAAACACTTGTATTCTCCAGCAATCTGTTTTAACACAAGCATAGAACCTCCCAAAATTTCCACAGATTGGATTCCTAATTCCACCAGCATTTCTAGGCTAATGATTAAAGCCTCATATTCAGCCCTGTTGTTGGTGCACTGGAAATCTAGCTGGAAAGAATAACAGTGTCTGATCCCTAGTGGATCTTCTAAAACAATCCCTGCCCCATAAGCTATATCAGTCTTTGATCCATCAAAGTACAGTTTCCAATGTGTAAGGTGAACTAAATAGATGGGATTGTTAAGGCATGTATGAGCTCTAGTCAACAGATTTGCATTTAATATGTTCAAAGAGTCCATATTTTCAATTTCTTCTCCTGGATGATCTGCTAGGAAATCTGCTATGGCTTGTCATTTAACAGCTTTCTGAGAAACATATCTAAAAGCAAATTCTGTCAAAGCCAGAGTCCATTTTCCAATTCTGCCTCTCAACATTAGCCTTGTTAGCATGTATTTGATTAGGTCTGTCTTGGCAATGATGTAGGTGGTGAATGGCAGCATGTAGTGTTTGAGTTTCACATCAGTGAAGTATAAGACTAGACAGTGCCTTTCAATTACAGAATATTTCCTTTCTACTTCTGTTAGAGTTCTGCTCAGATAGTAGACTGCATGTTCCTTCCATTTCTTGTTATCTTGAACCAACAAACTCCCAATGGACACTTCTGATGCCGAAACATAGAGTTTGAGTGGTCTGCCTCTCTTTGGTGGGGACAGAACTGGTGGCTTTGAGAGGTAATGTTTGATTTCCTCAAAAGCCTGTTGATGTTGTTCCTCCCATTTAAACGTATGTTCCTGTTTTAACCTTAGCAAGGAGGAGAAGAGCTGGATTTTTCCTACAGAATTGGATATGAACCTTCTTAGAAAATTAATTTTTCCTAGGAGACTCTGCAGTTCCTTCTTGTTCCGGGGTGGTAGAGCTTCTATGATGGATTTTGCTTTATTTTTGTCAATCTCTATGCCCATTTGGTGGACCAAGAAATCCAAGAAATTTCCTGCTTGAACTCCAAAAACACATTTTTGGGATTCATTTTCAACTTATGTTGTCTCATTCTTAGGAATGCTTTTATCAGGTTTGATACATGATCTCCCTCTTCTGGGGATTTAATCAGCACATCATCTATGTATACTTCTAAAGAATGACCTATCATGTCATGAAAAACAGAATTCATTGCTCTTTGATAAGTGGCTCCTGCATTTCTTAAGCCAAAAGACATTACAGTGTATTCAAAAGCGCTTATATGTCCTGGACACATGAAGGCCATTTTATGGATGTCTCCTTCGGCTACCATAATTTGATTATATCCTGAATTGCCATCCATAAAAGATAACATTTGGTTATGAGCAGCTCCATTTACTAACATATCTGCCATTGGCATAGGATATTCGTCCTTGGGAAATGCTTCATTCAGATTCCTGTAATCCACACAGATCCTAACTGCCCCTGTTTTTCTCTTCAGAACTGGCACAATATTGGCTAGCCAGTTAGCATAAATGGCTGGTATGATGAATCCTGCCTTGAGCAATCTTTCTATTTCTTCCTTGACTTTCGGTTCTGTTTCCACAGACATTCTTCTTCTGGCCTGATTGACTAGAAGGTAGCCTTCTTTGATTGGCAGCTTGTGTTCTACCAGTTTTCTGTCTAATCCAGGCATCTCATGATAATGCCAAGCAAAACAGTCTCTAAAATCATTCAAAAGTGCAATGATTTCACTTTTGAGTGGTTCTTTCAACAGTGCACTAATGAAAGTAGGTCTTGGATCCTCTTCTGTCCTTAAGTTTATCTCCTATAATGGATCTTTCACTTCTGGCAAAAGGTCATCCAGTGCTGCTGGTGCAAAGTCTAATACTTCCTCTTGTAAACTTTCTTCATGTTCTTCAGTGCTCTCGTGAGTGAATTTTGCCATATTAATGGCTGGATTCTGCATGAAGAGCTTAATTTCCTCCCAATATATCAACAATCTTTTTGTAATGGATCGGATTGTTGCAGCTCGATCCTTTTCTTGTTGATTGAGACTAAACATCAGAGTTCTGGAGGTTTAGAACAAAAGGTCTATTCCAGTCTTCTAGAGAACTGGCTAAACCATCTTCAATGAGTCTTTGGGCCGTGACACCATGGGGGCGGCCGTTCTGGTTGACTCAAAGGAAGGTGAAAGGACCAAGGTCATTATGATAATACCTTGTCTCAAAACACATGGCAGAGGGCAGAAATGGTCGTGGATCGGCCTCTACTATCTCCATGAAACCTTTCTCATTCCAAAGGGCTAATTGCTGATGCAAAGTGGAAGGAACACATATTTTAAACATATTTTAATCCTTTGATTGTATTTTATTGAGGAAGTAATTTTATATTAAAAGTCAATGAAATTCTAGCAAGGGGGATGAGAGAAACTCACACACACAGTTATTTCATAAATGGTAGTATTATTTTCTTAATCTCTTTAGGAGAGTCAAGCCGATAATGTTATGAAATAGTTCGAATAGGAGCACTCAAGCACTAATTTGTTAATAAGTTAATACAATACTAACTACTCAGTTTAGCCCGCTTCATAATATCATTTCACATTGATTAATAATTTATCCATTCATTATAATCATAATTGTCGTTAATTTCGTATTATAAAATGGTTGAATATTAATATCATCACTTACAGTATTAAAGACTCAAAAGTTAATAATTTATATTCCAACAGAGAGAAGAAATACCCCAAAAAAAAAAAAAGTTCATAAATCCCAATATTAAAGTACCTTACTCAGACATGTGAAAAAGGAGGGAAAAAAATCACAAAGTTTAAGCTGAAGTTAAACAAAAGAGGAAGAGAAAGAGAATGAAAAAAAGAGGAGTTTTTAGTGTAAATATCATAACCAAACCTAGTAGATTTAATTGAAAGTAGAAGAGTGATTAAGAAGTTTAATGGTCAATTTGTAGACAAAAAGAACCTAATATATTATTTATTTTAGAGTAAATATCCCAAAAATAATATATTGTAATATAATATTTATATCATATATAATATATAAATGCAAGGGGTAAATAGATTGAGGGGGCCTAGGACCACACAGATCCCTACATGGCTCGGCCCTTGATGTCGATTAGTGGCTAGTTTTTGTCATTGATGTCATTGAGAAAAATTCGGGGAAATTATGGTGGTTGAAAGAGGTTATAGAAAAGTTATTTTCGACAGTGATTATATTCAGATTGTTTTAGCTTTTCGGTTGGCCAAAGTCACTAGGTAGGTTTTACCCATGTCTGTCATTATCTCCATTTACCGTATGTGTCTTTTGCACTCTTTATTCCTATTGATCTAATAAAATTATATCACTTTTTTATTAAAAAAATAACAGTATTATTAATGTTAAATATTTTGGATTCTAATGTCCAACAACTTACCTAATACCCACTACCGTTACTTGCGATTATCTTAAAGAAGTAATATCTTTTGAATAGAAATGTGATCTTATTTTGAATATTTTGAATGTTGATGCTTAGTTTATGCAAATTGATTAATGCATTATTGTCCCTTGCGTGGAGGACCATGAATAAAATATATCTCTTTTTGGAAAATAAAAAAAATGGTGCCATGTTAACATCTGAAATGACAAATTGTCCATATTATATTGACAATAACATATCAATAACAAAATGTATCTATATATTATCGATGCAAAATTCAACTTTTAATCATGCACACATTAAATTTGTGGACTAATGATTTTTTTTTTTTTTACTTTAAAAAGACAAAAAAAAATCCTATACAGCTAGCAATATAGTAACAACCTACTCTAGCTAGGTGAATGGCGAAATCTTAAAAAGACCTAACAATATATTCCTCTCTCTGGTTCGGAAATTTTTGAAAGGTTTGCTGATGCTGTAGGTTTACTTGGGGCCGTGGTTAATCAAAACAAGCTGAGGTATGGCTAACTTAAGCTAGTTTATTAATTAACTAACATGGTTAATTAGGTTAATCAAAACTAGCTAAAATGCCTTTAGGTCTCAATTAGGAAAAATGTTTCATAATATTTTTCAAACATGTTTTCAAATGATGACGTGGTATGGTCACAACATATCGAAGGAAAAAAAGTTTAAAAAATTAGCAAAGATTATATCACCATGAAAGATGGCCTTAATTTGGTACTATTGGAGCAGGAGGTGTGATTCGCGACTCTGGAGGTGGATGGCTTGGCGGGTTCACTGTTAATTTGGGCATAGGCCAAATTTTGGATGCTGAATTTTGGGGTCTGTTCTTTGGCATCAGACTTGCTATTGACAAAAGGGTCTCTTAACTCATTATTGAGACGGATTCTGCTAGTGTGGTGCAACTTATCCAAATGATTGAAGCTCTTTACTCTAATCCTCTTGCTGGGATGATCTCTAGTTGTCGAGAGCTCATGAATCGGTTTGATTATTGTGTCTTGCGTCACATTTACAGAGAGACGAATGGGGTGGCTGACTGTCTCACCAAATGGAGTTACAACATGGATTTGGGTCTATATACTTTTGATCATGTGCCTACTTGAGTGGGATCCTTTCTGATGGATGATTTGTTAAGGGTGCTCAAAACCCGTTGTTCTAATTCTGTTTAGCTTTTCTTTTTTGGGGCTCGGTCCCCCCATTTTACTGAAAAAAATAAAGAAAAATGGCCTTAATTTGCAAGTCAATGGTCTTATGTTCGAACCTTTATGACAACTTGACAACACACCCCCCTCCCCCTTATTTCTAATTTTGGCGAAAAAACAAGAAAATAAGAAAGGAAACATAAATAAGCAAAAAAGTGTGGTGACAAATCCGAGTGTTATTCTCACGAAAGACATGAGGGGAGATACCCAAGAAGTCATCACTTATTACAAATTATAATTCGACACATACATATGTCGTGTCACTTTAAAAACACAAAACTCATTTGGTCCTAAACCCAAATTTCCCCCTTCTAAAAAATAACCATTTGGGTTTTGCCTGAACTCAAACAGTTTTTTCCCTAACCCTTGATACTCAAATTTTAAGTTCGCAATTTTATTAAATTTTTTAAGAATGGTTTACGTTATTTTTTTTATGGATACTTTTGTTTATTTAATCTTTTTAAATAACTTCATAATTTTATTTTTTGAACAATTTGACCTTTAAAAAAAAATTGAAATTCCACAAATATAATTTTATTTGAGAAATTGGTGGGTATTTCTAGAGTTTGAGTGAGTTTTGGGGTTGGATTTGATTTTAGATTAATTTAAAAAATTAATTTGACCGTTGGTTTTAAATTTCAGGCATTGATTTTATTTTATTTTACCATTAAAATAGCTTGAATTTAATATGGATTGTTCATTTGGGTTACTGTTGGAATAAAAAAAAATAATAATAAAAAAACCGCGACACCGGACATGACACTTGTCTACATCACAGCAGCCGCGAGGCCCAAGTTTTCGAGAAATTATACAATGGTACGGATGTACCACGTCAGCATGTGATACTTCCATTCAATTATTGCCATTTGTATTTTAAAATAGAAATTAAATATTTGTTTACAGCTGGACTTATATTATGAAATAAAATTTTAAATTTGAAAAACAGAAAAAAAAAAAAAAAAAAAATATTCCCCACCGCCGCCCCTCCCCTAAAACCCCACTGCGTTCCAAATGCCATCCCTCTTAGTTCCTCTTCCTCCCCGTCCCTTTTCCTCTTCACCCTTGCCACTGGCGTCCAAACCCTCATCTTCCTTAATTCCCCTTTCTTTGAAATTGATCATGACAACCTTTTGTTGAATATGTGTCCAATGTTTGAGGATTTTAGTTTTGTTATATGAGCAAGGAAAGAATCGTTTATGAAAAACGATATATGGAGAAGAGAAAGAGCAGAGGGAATGAAGAATGTTTAGTATATTTCTCTTGATGCAAATGAGCACAAACACACACACAAATACATGACACATACTGCCAAAATAGCTCAAAGCCTAAATTTTAGGTAGCAAGGATTCATCTCCAGCCATACATAATCATTGGAGGCTACGATCCTTACACCTAGGCTAGAATTGGTTATCAAGGTACAGCTGAAAAAGATAGGAATTACAGCTGTAGGAATTTTCCCAAAAAGTAAAAATAAAACTAGCCGTTAGACAGCTAAGCTAACAGCTAATACCAAAACTAGGAAGTTCCCAAGTTCTTCGATTCCTTCATTCTCTTCATTATCAATCTGCAGGATTGTCATCTGCAGCTTGATTTAAGCTTAATATGCAGCTTAATTCTCAACAGCCTCTCCTAAGCTGCTTACTGGCTTAACTCCAAACTTCAACCTTAGTTGATTAAATTTGACTTTAGGCAATGCTTTTGTAAAAATATCTGCAAGTTGTTCTTTACTTCTGTAGAATTTCATGTCAACCACCCCTTCTTGTAGAGCCTCCCTTATGAAATGATACCTTCTGTTTATGTGTCTAGTCCTTTGATGAAAAACTGGATTCTTAGCCATAGAAATTGCTGACATATTGTCACAGAATAGGGGTGTTGCCTCAGTTTGCATTTCACCAAAGTCATCAAGAACAAACCTTAACCAAATAGCCTGTGTTGTTGCCTCAGATGCTGAGACATACTCAGCTTTAGCTGTTGATAGTGCCACTGTATTTTTTTTCACAGAGGCCCAAAAGAATGCTCCACTTCCAAAGCTAAACGC